TCCAGACCTCAAGGGCCAGCTGAAGGCCCACCTTCATTGTGAACCCTTCCCTGACCACCTCAGCCCACACTGATTGCTACCTCCTGAGGTTCCACTAATTCTTTCTGCCTGGGCCTCATACCAGCCACTTCCTCACTTCTTTTATACTTTTGACTCTAGTTATCCTTTTTTCCATCCAGATTTAACATTTCTCATGAACAGATCTTCCTCATTTACCTCAGGATATCCCAGAGAACACAGTAGGATACTACCAGAACATTGCCCATAAATATTGATTGAACCTTTGAATAGCAGAGGTATTACTTCCCAATATCCACTCCTCCATTGTTCCTTTTTTTAATAGAATCTCCCACCTTGAATTTCAGCAGAACATATGGCTGCCTAGCTAGAGACTATAATCTCTTAGAGCTAGGTATGGCCACGTGACCAAGTTTGGCTAATGGGATGTGAATGGATGGCAGTAATGTGTGCAACATTCGAGTCATTTTCTTAAAAGGAAACTACTTGCCCTCTTCTCTCTTTCCCCCTTGGATTTGGTTGTGATGGTAAAATAGCTTCAACAATGTGGAAGAGGACAGCACTAACTCTGTGGGATAGTGGAACAACAAGATATAACAAACCAGGATACTCGGATAACTTCAGATGACAGAGCAACCTCAGTCTGCCTGCCTACCTCTGGACTTTTATGTGAAAGGGAAATAAATTTTTATCTTTTTTTGTGCCTTAACTAATAAAATGCAACTAAAATACTTGTCCAGCCTACTTCACGTTGCTTTGTAAAAATCAAGCCAGATCATACTTCCACCATACCATGTAAAGTATTAAGTAAAATCCCAATATGAAATATCATTGGATCTAAGCATATAAGGCCTATTACATAATTGTTTAACCCCTTTGATGAAACGTACTGCACACCTTCCATATATAAAGGACACAGAAGGGTGTTAAGATTGAGAGTGAACACTGTTAGGCACTGTGCTACATATGCTATCTCATTCCATCATCACAATCATCCTATGCAGTGAGTATTTCATTCACCCCTCACAGGTGAAGGCCCCGGGCCACAAACAGTTTGAACTTGTCTACTAAGAAAATGGTTGGCAGTTCAAACCTACTCAATGATACACAGAAGACCTGGCAATCTGCTTCTGTACAGTTTACAGCCCAGAAAACCTTATGGAGCTTAATTCTACTCTGTAACCATGGGGTCACCATGCATCAGAACAGACTTGGCAGTAATGGGTTTGTTTTTCATTTTTGTGTTTTTGGGGGCTTATCATAGGTAAGGAAATTCAAACACAGGGAATTTAATCATGCAAACTGATTATACCTGGTAAGTGGCAGAACTGGTACTGGTTCCCAGCCCTGTTTGTCCCAGAGGCTGTGCTCTTGTCACTCCACTTTCCAGGCTTAACACCAGGCAATGGCTACTGCCCTCAAGGACCTCACAGTCTATGTGAAGGAGAGAGACACAAGCAACTAACTCTACCTCAAGGCAGAATGCACTGTATGTTGTAAGAGGCCGGAGTGGCAAGATGTGGGGTATTCAAGGAAGGAGCGATGAATTCTAACCTAGGGGGTTGGGAATGGTTCCACAGAGGAATCCCCAATTGCACTGACCTCTGAGAAATCAGTAGAAGGGAATAAACAGAGAAGGGGAGGGAAAGACACAGGCAGCTGAGGGAGCAGCACGGGAAAAAGACAAAGAGGTAGGAAAGTAGAGAACGTTTGGAAAATGATGAGTGGCCCAGTGTGAACACACTGTGGAGGGCTTTAATGGCGGGAAATGGGGCTGAAAGGCAGGACAGGACAGGCCAGACCAAGGAAGGCTTTGTACATCAGGATAGAGTTAAACCTGCTTTTTAGGCAACAGGGAATGATAGAAGATGTTGGAGAAGGGAGCATGCAACCCAATATGCATGCCAGCATGAAAGACCTGGCAAGAGGAAAGGCAGAGGAGGCTACTGGAATCATCCAGAGGACAGCTGAGAAGAGCCTGGAAGAAAGACAGTGGGCAGAGTCAGAAGACATCTCAAAGGGAAGATCCCAAGGGCTGCTGATGGGATGTGTAAATCTCAACTGAGGAACCAGGAATAAGCCTGTCTGTAGAGTCTCTCTCTGTTTTGTCTCTGCAAAACTGTCTGCTACTCTCATCTACAATTCTCTGCTCAAATGACCTTTGTTTTGGTTTTCACTTTCAGCTCAGAAGATCACTCTGGAATGTGTGTATATGTGTGTCTCATGTATTGTAATTAAGATGAAACAACAATTAAGAGGCCCCGTCACCCCCGGACAGCACACCCAGGGCTACAGCCCTCTCCCACGTGGCCCTCAGCTCCGGCAGTGCCCCTCCTTTTAAGTCAAACTCCCACAAGCACAGATAAAAAATAAATTCCAGCGTCATGTGCCTCTCAGCTTGTTAGTAAGGCTGTTTTCTGGTTTATGTGCTGGAGGGGAAGTGGGTGAGTTTCCTAGCAGACAACTGTGGTAAGTGATAAAAGGAAAACCTAGTTAGCAAATTTCTTGGGAGACTTAAGGCAAAGGGCAAGGCAGTCAGCAGTGATGGAGAGTGTTAGCGTAACTCTGGTACTCTCTTACCCTGACACACATAGAGGGGTCTCTTTCAGGATTGTTTTAGCCTCTTTTTCCCTTTCAACCACCAAGTACTCAATTCTTTGAGGGAAAATTAACATTCATTATGCAATTTATCTCTCTCCTTTTAATCCAGAGTATGGGTCTCCAAGGTCCCTACTCAATAATTAATGTTTGTTCTCATTTCCCATTCTCCGGAGCATTTATTCTTGAATTGTAGGGTCAACAATTAACACTACTTATGGTTTTCCTCTCTTCAGTGGTGGTTCTCAGAATCCCTAGTTGCCCTGCTCAGCCTAAGTCATCTGCATGCATGTGGCAGCGTGTAAGCGTGTGGCTGTGTGTGTGCGTGTGTCTGTATGTGTGTGTGGCTGTGTGTGTGTGTGAGGCTACATGTGGCTGTGTGTGTGCATGTGGTTGCATGTGTGTACGCTGCAATGGAAATGGATCCAGGAGCAGGCTTTTCCAAGACCACAAAAGTTTAACAAATCAATAAAATCCAAACATTCTTTCTTGGCAACCTCTCTAGTATATTTATTATCAGTAAAGACACAAAGAAGGAAATTTAAAAAGGATTTGAAAATTAGTTTGGGTGGGTAGTCAGATTGGAAAATATCTCAATCTTTCCTATTTTGAATTTTTTTAGGATTCTCTCTGATTTTTTCCTCCCTATTGATGTCTTTTTTTCTCTTCTCTCTCTCTCTCTCTCACACACACACACGCACACACACAAATTTTCCTTTAAAGACTGTTCCTCCTCTCTGTAAAAAGTTGAACACAGAATTACTCTATAGCCAAAAAAAAAACAACTCACTGCCATCAAGTCGACTCTAACTCATAGCTGCCCCCACTGGGTCTCCAAGGTGGTAAATCTTTATGGAGGTAGAGTGCCCCATTCTTCTTCCATGGAGCAGCTAGTGGGTTTTCGTCCACCAACCTTCTGGTTAGCAGGCAAATGTCTTAGGCACTGTGCCACCAGAGCTTCTTAGAATTACTCTATTAAAAAAAAAAAACCTCACTGCCGTAAAGTCAATTTGACTCATAGCAACCCCTCCTTGGGTTACTGAGGCAGTATCACCATAGAAGTAGATTGCCCCATCTTCCTTCTGAGCAGTGGCTGGTGGGTATGAACCACCAGCCTTCTGGTTAGCAGTTGAATGCCTTAGGCATTACGCCACCAGAGCTCCCAGGATTACCCAGCATGACCCAGCAATTCCATTCCTTGGTATACACCCAAAAGACTTGAAAGCAGGGACTTAAGCAGATAGTGTACACCACTGTTTATTGCAACACTGTGGTATATACATACAATGGAGTGTTAGTCATCCATAAAGAGAAATGAAGTTCTGATACATGCTCAGTTGCAGATGAACCTTAAAAACAGTGTGTGAGTGAAATAAGTCAGACACAAAAGAACAAACATTATGATTCCACTTATATAAAATATCTAGAATAGGCAACCACACTGAGACAGAAAATAGATGTGTGATCACCAGGGCCTGGGGGAAGGAGGCGATGGGAAACTATTGTTTCAGAGGTATTGGTTTCTGTTTGAGATGATGAAAAACTTTCAGAGATAAACAGTGGTCATAGTTGTACAAGGTGAATTTAATTCATGTCACTGTACACTTAAAAATGGTTAAAACTTTTTTGTATATATATTTTACCACAATAAATCTTTTTAATTCCTCCTCCATTTAAGATTCACTTAGAAACCTACCTTTGTTACCTATTACCTCTTCCTTGATTGACTTTTTCAGATCTGTCATTCTAATCCTCTTCAGCCATTCATTCAAACAGCCTTGTTTTAACTAGTTTTCATTTTAACTGACAAAGACAGCAATGATTCTCACTCAAGGTGGCTCTAACAGATCACAGGAAAAAAAAGTCCTTGGGGGCTGTGGAAAAGCCTATCTGTCCTTCTGGCTACAATCAGATGGGCTGGACTCCCTCCTGTCTCCCTGAGTCCAGCCCTTATATCCGTGCTACAGCTGGGGACTGGGATTCTTCCAGTTTGCCTGTCATCCCTGTGCTGCACGCACTGGGGCCCCGCGCCACATCTGCTGTTCAAATCTGAGCATCTCCTCACACTGTGTGTCAAGCATGAACTATTTCAATGCTCTTGCTCTGTTGAAAGTTTTCCTCTCAGAATTTTAGCATCATGATCCCTGCAGGCTTTTGCCTTTAAGTGTCTTGAACAAAAACATTATTTTCCTCAATATTTCTTAGTCCTACATCAACCTTCTGTCCACAATAGCATCTGTGGGTTTTTAAATCCATACGATGCATTACAAGGTTTTAAGCATCAAGGCATTTCACTTACTATTTACCCTGTCTTTGAGTAGTGAAAATAGCTTTCTTGCCAAGACTTTCTCACACTCTCAGGTAAAATCCTTATTGTTTTTCAGCCTATGAATCCATCAACTCAAATGTCAGCCACGAAAAGGTAGAGTCTGATATTCAACACATTATAAAAGGAAGTTTTCCCACCCAGAAGTCATCTTCACTTCTCCTCTATGTCATTTGACTCATGAATATATTATTTCATACCTGGTGTTGGTGTTGGGTGCCATTTAGTCAATTCTGACTCATAGCAACTCCATGTGATGGAGTACAACTGCCCCATAGGGTTTTCTTTTTTT